TCAGTTATATCACCGGTCTCGCCACGTGGATGGCGCATTATGAAAAGTTTTTAAAATGAGCAGCTCGGAGTCGTCGTCGGAGATGAGGGGAGCTCGGTGAGAAGACTTCTGTGGAGCCCCAGAGGGACTCGGCTTCCCACAGCGCCCGACTCTGTGGGAGAGGATAAAAATACACACCAAGCCGGGCCTTACTCATATTTATTTTACAAAGTTTCCTTCACATCAAGAAACGAGGCTGACTGCTGATAGCAAGCGGCAGCTTAAAGGGACACGACTTCTTTCTTTTAATCTTTAATTAGTAAATTTATTATTACATTTAAAAATAAGCTCACACATTTTCGAGTCTGTTTTTAAGTTTTTTGTCGATTTCTGGGGAAAGAACAGACGATAAGAGAACCCAGAGAATAGGGTTACCTTTCCGCTCGGGATAAGTGGCACCCTATTACAATTAGGTCTATTAGGGATGCGCAGATACTTGGCATTTTCATGAGAACTACCAGGGTTGCAGCGGTTGCAGCCGGGACCTGGCTCTGGCGCTCCACCACTGTCCTGAAATCATTAGTCTGTATTGTTTTAGAAAAACTGTCACATGACAATAAACAGAAATGTATCAGTACTCGTACTCACAAAACTGGTATCTGTGCATCCCTTTATTTATATTTATAAAAACAAAATCGTACATTAAATCAGAGATGTACAAATCCCAGGAGCTCCGTGTGCTCCTTACAAATGACAGCTGCCTCCTAATTTTTTTATTTTTCTCTAGTGTAGTCTTGGAGCTCAAAAGTATCGGTACTTGTACCGAGTACTGTACTTGGTATCTGTGCAACCCTAAGGTCTATGTAGCCTTTGTAGGTCTGGCTTCTTCCATGGCTCTCTTTATAAAAATGTAAAACGCAAAGCAACAGGTTCTCTTTAATGCCCCCTTCCACAGGAGCACATACCGTCCTGTCATTCCTTCCATGTTTTGTTCATCGGCCTGGAGTGAGTCGCTCTAGTCGGAGCTTATACAGGGCTGAGGACTCTTCCCATCCCGATGTGACAACACGCCAACCACCAGCTCTGTCACATGAAGCTCCATCCCAGATAGCAAGGATAACTTGCCACAAACTTGTGTCAGGGTTAAATTGTAATTCTTTCTAACTTGCTGCACACATTCCTGGCAGGTTGTAGACTTGCAGAACACTCGCAGCACAAGTTCTAGGCGACACTTTTTGAATTTGTAGCAAATTTGCTTGGCAAGTCTACAGCAAGAGTCCTGCAGGTCTTAGCAAGAGCTCTGCGAGTGTACGGCACTTTTACAAAGCACGTTGATCTGGAGACTTGCAATGCAGACTCGCTGTAATTGTGCAACAAAATTATGAAGCTCGGCAAGTCTAGCCATAGTTTAGCAAGTCATTTTCAAACTTGCAGCTCAATGGCTTGCTATCTGGGCTATGCTATCTGGGATAGATTGAGGCAGATGCGTGTCCCGCAAAGTTCTGCCAAAAGACAACCAAATTCAACTGCCTTCTACGGACAAAATAAACTACACACCTTCATCCTCAGAACCCTAAACCTGCCCCTAATCTACACACTGGCCCAAGGAAAACATTTCCCGATCCAATAATTAGGCAACTGAAGTCTCCCTGGATCAACAATCCTCATAAGCAGCACCAACCCTGATTGAAGTGGCCTAAATCAACAAGAAACGCGTTGAAGGTGATAAAATGTAAGTTAAAAATCTTCATAAGTGCTTCCAAAACCTATTTTCCATCTGAGCAAGAAAAAAAACAAAAACTACAAGGAGCCAAAAGAGTCATGTGTGTTTTTTCTCCATAGCGTTACCGGCATGGCCATTCTCAGCATCTATGGAACAGAAGCGGGTAAGGGTTTGCAATAAGGTTTGCTACAATTCTTTAATGTTATAAATGATCGGTGTTGTTGCAGGAGGAACATTTCTCCAGATGACCAGCAATGGAACAAGAATTATTTCCACTGTCCACCAGTGTAACGGAGGCCCTGCACTAATCACCTTTGTAATGGGCATTTGTCCAGTGACTGCTGTATATAATGTATACAATCATTATTATCAGGGGTTCCCAGAGCCCTTAGAATAACTTCAAGGGTTCCTCCATGGTAGGGCGGCTGAGGAAAGCTGCTCGGAGCGCTTTGTAAAACATGCTGAAGTATTTGATTTGTTGAATTCACGCTTCGGTGATCGTCCTCTGTTCCTGATCCCAGTGTAACGGAGAATCACCCGCTCCATGCTGATGGGGACGAGTGTGAGGTTTTGTGACATGTGTCACGTGACTTTGTCACTTTGTATTAATGGCGGCTTCATGCGTCAGTCAGTGAGTGACGTCTCGGTGCGCACTGTCACATCGTATCATTGCCATGGACGCATGGATCCCTGTGATTCCCTCTGACACCCCGTGGGTGATGGGAAAGGTGTCATCGAGGTCTCCTGGTGGCCTCTGTATTGTATAGTTTAATATGCAGAATATTCCACGTTTACATCCACAAGATGAAGGAGAATGTGTTCCTGATACTGGCAGCTGACCAGCAGGATCATGAGATCTGAACTCCATTCCGCTGGTGAGAAAAAGCTACAATATCCCTTTGCAGGATGTACACCGTCCCTATGAACTAGATACATTGTATATATAGTTTTGTATAGAGTAGTGAAGTTGGAACCCCTGTCAGCTTTTTATTGCCCGCTGGGAGGGTTCACTCTCTCTTGTCTCGGTAAGTCCCCATTCACATCTGTGCGATTTAATGCACACTGGTCAAAATGCGACAACGCATGACAAGAGGATTACCTTTGCTGTGGCCCCATAGACCAACAGAAGCGCATGGAAAATGCAGAAGCAAAAGTGTGAACCTAGTTTTAGTGTCAGTGTTAGGGTCAATGTTAGTGCCAATGTTGGGAACAGTGTTGGGGTCAGTTTTGGGAACAGTGTTAGGGTCAATGTTGGGAACAGTGTTGGGGATCAATGTTGGGAACAGTGTTAGGGTCAATGTTAGTGCCTGTGTTGGGGTCAATGTTAGTGTTAGGTGTAGTGTTAAGGTCAGTATTATGCGTCGTGTTAGGGGTAATGTTAGGTTCAGTGTTAGTGTCAGTGTTAATGTTAGTGTCAGTGCCATTTTTCATGTCAGTGTGTTGGAGTAGTATAAAAAAAAAAAAAAAAGCAAAACTCACATTATTGTTTCTGGGCCCAACTACAGGTACAGGTAACAAATAACACTCACATATGTGGTGTCCCGGCACACATCAAGATTAGGAGAATTTATTTGGGGTATTTTCTGGTGGTGAGTCATGGTAACGACATACAAATATACAGCTTCATTTAAAAAAAAAGATATTTTATTACCATTTTTGCCCGGTTTTCTTTTGATAATAAAACAATCCGGAGATCTCTATTACTAGGTGGGAATTGTCCTGGACAGTGCGCGGTCCTGGTGTTACGTTGCCGGTCCAGGCGTTACGGTTTGTTTTATGCCCATCATTAAAGGGTTAATCATGGACATTTTTGGGTCGGGGCTCCTCTTCCTTTATTCTGGAGAAGCTGAATCTACTTGGGTAGTGTGTTCATCTGGCAGTGTGTGGCATCTCCCTGCTCGCCCGGCCGCTGCCGCCGCCGCCACGCTGTTCTCTTCTCTTGCAGATCAATAGGATGTTTCTCATCTACTTAATTGTACCCGTAGGGTTTCTGCCCAGTCAGAGCGCCATTGTCTCCGGCAGATCATAATGGTATCCGACACCGAGACAACTTCATTAAAAGATCATCAAGCCCGCGACGCATCCGTGCCCGCAACCCTCTGCTCAGTGTAATGCTGCCCGTGCCCCCTCCTGGAGCTATGGAGGAGCTCCGACTATAACATGGCATGCTGAGACTTATAGTTCCTCTGCATTAATTGTCTCCAAATAAATGTGACCCATTTTCTAAAAGACAGCGAGGAGAGACAGTCAGGGGAGAGAGCGAGGAGAGATGGCCAAGGGAGAGAGCGAGCAGAGACAGCTAGGGTAGAAAGAGAGGAGAGGCAGCCAGAGGAGATAGAGGAGAGAGAGTGAGCAGAGAGAGAAGAGAGACAGCCAGGAGAGAGCAAGAAGAGGCAGCCTGGATAGAGAGCGAGGAGAGACGACCAGGGGAGAGAGGGAGGAGAGACAACAAGGGGAGAGAGCGAGAAGCCAAGGGAGAGAGTCAGGAGAGGCAGCCTGGATAGAGAGCCAGAAGAGAGAGCGAGGAGAGACGGCCAGGGGAGAGCGTGGAGAGACAGCCAGGGGAGATAGAGGCGAGACAGCCAAGGGAGAGAGTGAGCAGAGACAGCCAGGGTAGAGAGAGAGGCGAGACAGGGGAGAGACCGCCAGGAGAGAGCAAGAAGAGGCAGCCTGGATAGAGAGCGAGCAGAGACGGCCAGGGGAGAGAGTGAGCAGAGACAGCCAGGGGAGAGAGTGAGCAGAGACAGCCAGGGGAGAAAGAGAGAGCCAGGAGAGAGCGAGGAGAGGCAGCCTGGATAGAGAGCGAGAAGAGATGGCCAGAAGAGAGAGCGAGGAGAGATAGCCAGGGGAGAGAGGAGAGATAGTGTACAACACATCTGCCTGAAGCAGAACCCCTGTGCCCTTCAAGACGTATTTGCGCCCTCTGTTTCAGACACCTCTCTGAGTTCCAGCATCCCTCCATAGCCCGTGCCTCCTCCATGCACTCAAATTGGCACACCAGGACCCCGTGGTTGCCCCAGTCCACCTGACATCTTGTGTCCAGGTTTCAGCTGGCCTGAAACCTGGACTGTCCAGGTGAATCATGGACAGGTGTCAATCCTAGTCCCATGGGGCATTGCAAGACTCGGACAGCCACAGGCATGACTCCCAGAGTCAGCCATGGGATTTGTAGTTTCACCACAGCTGCAGTGCCGAGATTGGTTACTCCTGCTATAGAGTGACAGCTCTGAGTCTACTGGGGCTGCTGACCTTGCATCCAAGATGGTGGCCCCCACCAGCGGTCTCGGGGCTTTTGGATGTCTACTCAAGGGGAGGCTTTTCCAGGTAAATAACATGCAATAAATACATCTATGCATAAATGATTGGTCCGGTGGCAGGTTCTCTTTAAGTTACAGACAGCCAGTCCATTAGCATTTTTAGAATGTCCTCCAGTTGGCTCCGTTCTAGTTTCCTTTATTCATTCCCATCTGAAGTTGTGTTTTTCCTCGCAGTGGATGCCGGAGATCCTGAATGAATGGCCGGTGTTGACAAGCCGCGTGCTGCTCGGAACAATGCTCCGCCAGACGCTCCCTTCCTTTTGTGAATCCGTCAAAAGACGCTCTGCTTGTGAACAATATTGACACCAGGTTCCGCTTTCCCCCCGTTGTTGTGAATGTGCTCGGATACGCTTCCCAAGATCGATAACACAATGGAAGCGGCGCAGCGTGGCTTCGCGGAGGGGCAGGCGTGCGCGGCGTGCCATCCGACCGTCAGTCAATAATCTGCGCACAATTAAGCTTCCGCGCCATAAACTCGCTCGCTGCTAAATAGACCTCAAAATCAACATGAAAAAGTTTGATGCGGCAGACGAGCTCGTTATCGGCAGTACTGCCGGCGCGGCGCATTATCTCATTTGTGACCGAGGAACTTAAAATGTTTCCCCGCTGTTGTGGAGGAGGAAACAATCACCTCCGGGTCGGAGATAAACATTGTAAGGACTTTAGGAGTTCATTGCAGGCTCACACCTGCTGCTCTTCTGTACAGACTGATCCAGGTGTTCCAGTCACTTCCTGTCCGTTCAGTGGGCGGGTCTACCTGCTGTGATCACATGACCACTGTAAGCTGCTGGGATAAGCTGTAAGGTGATCACATGGGGAGAAAGTGGCATTGTTAGGGAAGTTCCGGCAAAGTTGTTTAAGAGGACACTTCTTCCGGTGACATCTGCCTTACAAGGGAATTCCCTTCACTCGTGTAGAGTTTTCCTCTCACCGTCACCTGCACAGGAAGCACAGGGAAATCTCCCCAAAGGGACACAGAAAAAAATAAACTGACTGGGGGGTCTTAACTATTACCCACACCAGGGTAATAGGCAACCTTGGCAATCCAGCTTTTGTGGAACTACAAGTCCCATGAGGCATTGCAAGACTCTGACAGACACAGGCATGACTCCCAGCTGATGAGGTCATTGTCAGGCTGAGTACTATGACCTCAGTGAGGGGTAATAAATATTTGGAAGTGATATTATGACGTAGCATGAGAAATATGTCTGATGACGGATCCACCTTAAATCCCCCTGTATATTCTGGTGCTAGCCTTTAATATAAAATATGCTATTATTAGAGATGCACCGAAATGGAAATTTCAAAACAGAAACGAAACCGAAATGAAAAAAGAAATTGTCAGGATTAAACCGAAAAATGTTTTTTTATTTTAACTTTTTTTCACATTTTTCAAATATTTAATTTTTATTTATTTTTTATAAACTGTTTAATTTTTTATATTTTATTTGTATCTATTTATTCATTTTTATTAAATATTCATATTTTTTACTTTACTTTTAGGGGCTTCGGGGAAATATTGGGGGTCTAAACAGACCCCTGATATTTCCCTTTTAAAATAGAAAAAGAGATTGAGTCCAGAGACCCACAAAGTCCTCATTCTCTTATTCTGCAGCCCCTGTTATAAATGAACAGGAATCCTCTATGAGTGTTCCTGTTCATTCATAACATGAGGACAGAGTATGTTTACTATAACCACAATCATGAATGAACAGGAAGTGATGTAGATCACTTCCCATTCATTCATAATTGGGGATATGGTAACCATACTCTGTCCTCCAATTATTTACAAACACTCAGCGATCCCTGACTGCTTGTACCCGCTCTCCATCCTGACAGCTGTCACAGGAGGCTGAGCGAGCGGTGTTGGAGGAGAGCTCAGCCTCCTGTGAGAGCGCCGGCTGTCTCCACCCACACACCGCTCTCCTAATCTGTGACAGGAGGCTGAACAGTGCGGGGAGGAGAGACGCCGGCCGCTCACAGCGCTCTCCTCCTGCAGCGCTCGGCTGCCTGTGACAGTTTCTCCCCTCCCGACTGGGACACAGAGCAGCGCCCAGTAGGGGAGGAGAGAAAGCAGGGAAAGCTTTATCGGCCAGTAAATGGCACTTTCGCATTTTGCCAAAAGTGCCATTTTCGGCTGATATATATCGCTGCATCCCTAATAATGACATCATTCGAATATAAAAGAAAAATATAATTCTTCTTCCATTACAAATTCAGAATTTATT